TTGCCAATTGTTGTATCATTTAGCTAATAGCATACAAAAAGGCAGCTTTCATCAAGAAAGGAACAACCTTATCACTGAAGAAGCAATTCCAAGCAACCCTTCTGTAAAACTTTCACTGTGAAAGATGTTCAAAGAACGTGGCCATTACAAGTTTGACAACGTATTCCGGGTTAATATAGCACCGCTCAAAATTTGGAATATGCGCAAAGCTCAAAGCGCAAAGGAATAAAATTCAAGGGGTGTCGCTCGGCATCGGGCGACATTGTCGCCAATGTGTTAACAAAATCGTTCAACATATAAAATCAATGTTTAGTGCCAGCATGTCAGGTAGACAATTTAGATTATAATGAGGTGCTTGGATCCCGACTTATAGTTTTTCGAGAAGCCAGCGTCACAAAACACTTGTTTTGCAGCAAGCCCAAGGGGGTCCCCTACACGTATTCCATTTGGGAAGAAGGCAAACGCGAGGGTTTCGGGTGCTGGATTGGCTGGCGTATTCCTCAGACCACATCGTTATTGAAAACGTAGGGGATAGTGGTTCACTGCTTCTGCGCTATTAAGAAAAAGTAGTACCCCAAGTGACCTAACAAGTTGATGAAAATAGCTACTTGGAAAGAGCCCGACGAAGCAGGTATTAGGAGCTTTTTTCACAACATACCAGCCCGCAATAAAAGGAATGTGGGAAAAGAAGGAAAGCAAAAGAAAACCCCAATTACGCCCCAATAGAACCTCTTCCATTTCAGCGGCATTCCACTAGAACATAGAAGGGGCGTTTTGGACACGTTTATCGAATCTAGCTGCAATCGCTTCAATGCTAATGATTGGCAATACCACCGCTGCCGCAGCTGCGCCCGCGCCATTACCGCAGCGTCACGTGGCAGCCGACCGGTGCGGACGAAGGTGTGGAATGCGAGTCGAGCGAGCTCCTACTGCCTGTTTCAATTCGCTGTAAGGGAGCGCATCAACGTTTGCACGCCTGCCTGCTACATTTAGAGTTGGAACAGGGAGCGTGCCTAATCCCGAACCGAGCATAATTCAGTTATGTGGTGGTATAAAAATATAAGTTGTTGTCGTGACATGGTGTAGGTTCAGCAACTACGTCACGACACGAAGGGTTTTGGCTCCCACCCCAGCTCCCCGCTCCCCCCAACCTAATCCCTATGTTCGATACGAGCTAGGAGGGAAGATACAGAAACATTGAATAAACGGCTCATAAATAATGAATAATGTAACTATTAACTATATATTGCAGAATTTTTCCCCTGCTGCCTATTAATTGAAGAAGTGCTCTCAGTTTTAGTTCATCTGCGACGTGTGTCATCTTCTTTCATGTATCATTCTATAAGACTGCCCGGTAGAAGCGCATGACTCCATCACATGAAGTTTCAACCATGTCGACGCTAAAATCAATTCAACATCCACTTTCATGCGTCCCGGAACGCGGTGACCCACTCCTCTAGTCCATTAGAAAACACCGCGCTCCAAGGCTAACATGAAACCAATAGTGATTCAAACATATTATGATGTCAAGAAGAGCGCCAAACTTTTGGCGCGCCAGAAATACGCGCGCTTCCAGAATTTTTCATTCTTCTTCTAAATGCAGGCCCGTGCGGCCGATTCCAGCCTTCTCTTCCCCGCATTGTCCCTCCTACTCACCCCGCGCTTCGACCAGCTCTCATCGAGCTCCTTCTGGCTCTGCCCACTCATCGGGTTCAGGTGATCGTCTTGTTGTTCGTGTGCTTCAATTGACTTGCATGAAGTATTTGTTTTATCGTGCGTTCGAGGGGTCGAATGGTTCTTTCAGTTGTTAGTTATTCATGAGCCGTTAATTCAATGTTTACTGTATCCTCGCTCCTCGCTCGTATTGAACATAGGGATTAGGCTAGGGGAACGGGGAGCTGGGGTGAAAGCCAAAACCATTCGAGTCGTGACGCAGTTGCTGAACCACACCTACACCATGAGTCACGACAGCAACTTATATTTTTGCCAGTTTTGCTCCGCCCGCCTCGCGCGCATGTCAACATAGGCTTCAACAGAGTATAGCCGGGCTGTTGTATTGAGAAACATACTGCTTTCAATTGATTTTACTGATGGTATTAAGGAAAGCAGATGATAAAGCAGTAATTTCTCATAGCTCCAATACCAATAAACATCCATCATTTTTCTGTCTAGCAGCCGAATGACCTTTGGATAACTAATACAATTACTTGGGCTGCTTATTATCACCCCTCACCGTAAACATCTACCATGCTTGGATACTGGGATAGTTTAGCGGTCTAATAACTTCTTTTACCGGTGATGCGATAGAATTACCAATTTATCGTATTTCCACAGACACCGACCATCTTAGGAAGCTCGGGCAGATTAGCGGTCGAATGGATCACGACTACATCGCAAAAAAATGAGATGTTTTCTTATCCCACATCTGGATAAGAACTTCAGTACATTTGCTTTGTATCGCTCCTTATCAGCCCCTATCAGCCGTTATCACTTTTTGGTCCCCATCAAATATGTTCCCGTCCCACCCCCTATATCATATCTGCAAAGCAACGCCTCAATGCTGCTGGGCCTGCGCTGTGAATTTCGTGACATTTGCGTTCCAACGCTTCTTATCAGCCCCTATCAGCTGTTATCACTTTCTGGTCCCCATCAAATATGTTCCCGTCCCACCCCTATATCATATCTGCAAAGCAACGCCTCAATGCTGCTGGGCCTGCGCTATGAATTTCGTGACATTTGCGTTCCAACGCTTCTTATCAGCCCCTATCAGCTGTTATCACTTTCTGGTCCCCACAAATATGTTCCCGTCCCACCCCTATATCATATCTGCAAAGCAACGCCTCAATGCTGCTGGGCCTTGCGCTGTCAATTTCGTGACATTTGCGTTCCAACGCTTCTTATCAGCCCCTATCAGCTGTTATCACTTTCTGGTCCCCATCAGAATATGTTCCCGTCCCACCCCCCCCCATATCATATCTTAAAATCGACCTATGGCGACAGCTGGTGGGCGCAGTACGCACAACCGCTTAGCGGATTATATATAGTAGGATTCCACCACAGAACTGAGTTAATGCTCGGTTCGGGATTAGGCACGCTATCCGTTCCAACTCCGAACGGAGTAGACCGGCGCGCAAACGTTGATGCGCTTAATTTCAGCGGCCTAAAACAGGCAGTAGGAGCTCGCTCGACTAGCAATCCACACCTTCCTTCGCACGTCCCGCCTTCCATCGGCTGCCACGTGACGCTGCGACAATATCGCGGGTGCAGCTGCGGTTGCGGTGGCATTAACATTCAATGTCATTGGCACTGAAGCGACTGCAGCTAGATTAGCAAAACTTCTCCAAAGCACCCCTTCTGTGTTCTAGTGGAATGCCGCTGAAATGGATGAGGTTCTTTTGGGGCGTAATTGGGTGTTTCTTTTCCTTTTTTTGCCACATTCCTTTTATTCCGGGCTTGCCTTAATTTGTTGATAATTTATACCACAAACTATATTCACTAACTCGTTCCGTTCCAGTTGTGTTTTGGCACACATCGGGACATGTTGGACAAGGCTCATAGCATCTTTTTTGAATCTTGACACAGTGACCATCTTAAGTATTAGTTGACTTGGCACTTAACGCAGTCGAGGCAATCATTAAAATCACCAAAGCATCCGACAGGCGGAGTATATTGGAGGTACACCAGGAAAGTTTGTTGACTGCTGTACATCTGTAGGAACTGGTAAGCCAAAAGGACCAATATGTCAACACGCCATTTTCCTGAAAGTCACTTTATGAGTAATGCATGCGGAGAATCGTTACCAGTGAAGTAATGAAACACAGTCGCACAGTCAAATTAGTTGACGCAGATACTGTGCATGAACTCCGCCATGGACGGTCCCAAGCCCGTCTGGGAAAGGAGGAGGGTTGGCCCGCTACCGACGGGCTGTAAAACTAGGTAAGAAACCATGGAGTGTCATTATAGCAATAACGACAAAGCTACCGCATCCGGGGGAGCCGATGCGCCAATACCGAGGAGCCAGGGTATTGGTGGAAAGACATTGACTGGCCAAAAAAAGGAAATCCCACGACTCCTTACACCTAAGTCGAAACTGCGACTTGGATCGTGGAACGTGCGGACCGCCTTTCACTGCGGTCAGAAAGAAATCATCGCAAGGGAGTTGAGCAAGTGCCGGGTTACTGTTGCAGCTTTATCCGAACTGAGGATCAGCGGCTGTGGAACGACAAGAGTGCAGGTTCCTGCTACGGACGATTGGATGACACTGTACTACTCTGGCGGTCAAGAACATCGTGATGGTGTTGGGTTCATGCTCAATAGCCACGCATCAAAATGCGTCGTGTCGTTTCAACCCATCTCGCCGAGAATA